GTCTGAGCTGTCAAGATACAAGTCTTTCACGCGCGGCCACCATGATCGCCGAACTTCCTCCATCCGCGTCTCTTTTGTGCTATAGTAATAATTATTGATAACTTAAGTTAAATAGCACGAAATCAAAAATTCTGCGTTCTTTACGTTTCGGATGATATAACCACAGAACACCTCGTAACGCAGAATTAATAAAACAGCTATAAGCATATGACAGCTCTCTATAGCAGCCCCCAGCGAACTATCTGCTCCAAGGCCACGGCTCTAAGACAATAATTAAATGTTTATAGCTTTGTTGTACTGTGAGTTCTGAGCTGTATTTACTCGTCTGGGCTAAGCTCTTCGTGTTGTAACCTTGTGCGATTTCTCTGTGACCTTGAGGCATACAATTTGGTGGGTTACTGTAGTTAATAGTCTGATGTTATTATGATCAAATTTCTTGTAATGTCTGTAATATTTTAGAAGAGGGACGACTCTGTTAGGGCTGCTAGCAGAGAAAGAGGAAGTATATTACTAAGCACAATGAAGAATGCGCGGTTTTCTCTGTTAATGCGATAGTGAAGCTTCGGTGAGGGCTTCCAGATGGCCTTCAGCCAACCGCCACTATAAAGAGGATTAACGATTCGTTTTTCTGAACCCCCACCCTACCAGTGTTTTTATTCTTCAGAGCATAAGTGAAATACGTTGGCTAAACAAATTTGGATTTTCAAGCATATTATGGAATTTAGACCTATAGGAAAAATATTTATAGAAATATATAGTCAGTTTCATGTATAATTTCATCTTATCATGTACAGCCGCGTTGAATGTTCAGTATTATCTAACGTTCCACTCTGAACATGGCAAACGCAAAACTAGACGAAACTTGGAATAATAATGAACATCTGATGCGGATTAACCCCGAAATTCAGAATTATACGCCGAGTTCCTGCCGAAAAAACCTAGGGACAAGTATTTAAATTATCATTTTCCAGGTATGATTAAAAGGTGTCTTAATTAACTTCTATAACTAATATATTTTAAATCTAACAATTGATAACTGGCAATTTCTTTTTATTCATTGTAATCTACCGATGCTGACACATGAAATATTTTATTTTAGTGTATATTTATTTGAACTAACGTTCCGTTGTGTCATATATTAATAATTCAGTTTTCTTAAACTACCGGATAAAATTGACGTTATAATCAGCACGTAATATATTTTCTTATTTTACCCTATACTTTTCTGTGTGTGTGTGTGTGTATCGTAAAGGATGAGTCACTGCGTAGAATATAAGTGTTGATAATTATAGAAAGCATTATTTAAAGAAATTAATAATATCCATAGCGTAGTGTAATACTGATAATGAATTTATACAAATACAGACATATTATTAATTCCAAGAACTATAATTAATACAAAAGTAATTAATAAATAAAATTTTACAAATTAGACTGAAACGCTATTGCAAAACTTTCATTGATGAATGATATTAAAGAATATAACTGGTGTATCCAAGTACTGGCCCTGAAGATGGCAGAAGCATGTAGGAAAAAATAAAACTTTAAAATTACGCACAGAATTTATTACAATAAAAAACTTCCTGGGTTCAATCTAGATGTAGTTATTCCTTGAACTACTACATTTCACTTACGACTCAAGAAGATATTTTCAAGTGACAGTGTCTTGAGCAAGTCGGAGAGCTAACTGACTGCAATAGCCAATATTGTGCTGTAATAGGAAGTAATTATGAATGACCTTTACTATGTACGACATCTCGAAATTATATTTAATGTAAAATTAAGTAAAATATCCATTAAACTTTAAGTAAAACTCCACTCATAGGTAGTGAGCAGGTAAAACTGAGTGGTTAGATTCAAGGTCCAGATGATTTTTTCTCGCTGTTTGGTTGGTAGAATGGTGGATGGGCGTCAAAACTGGCGTGGACGCCGTAGCAAAGATAAAATGCCTGCCTCTACCAGGAATCGAACCACGGAAGTAAGTAGCAGGCTGTTTTACTGACTGAGCTCTTCTGGTGCATAATAAATTTATAGATTCAGAAGTTACTAACAGACACGTTTCACTCTAAAACTATTACTTATCTTTTTAAAACTGGCTTCAACAGCTTAATCAGTTTACTCTTATAAACTGAAGATGTAGGTTAATTCTGTGAAGGCATTGTTCCGGTTTTAGACTTCAGATGGCAGGAAAATAGGCAGTGAATAACCATGGACCTAATGAATGTTTCTGTATGAACGTAGCAAAAGTTTTAAATTTTGTAAATATCGGAGTTCCTGAACTGAAACCATTACATGGACAGCTTTGCGAATTTCATCTGGAAAGTTCTACATAGATGGCACTGTATTTCCTGTTTCTCTTGTTCATAAATGCACTGTACTAAATCCCGCAAAAAATGTTTTGAAAAACCTTACTCATATTTAATATTAATACCAACTCTGCTTCTAAATATTTTCTTTCAAAAGTTGGTAATAACTGTATCACTAACGCTTCGTTCCCTATAATTTCCAATTCTTTACTAACTCATCACATCATCTCTTATCGACTCTATAATCTGAATATAATGATTCAGTATAAAATAAACATTTACTTTGTAAATTAAACTGTTAAGAAAGTTTCCTATGCTCGCGCTGATGAGTCAGTCATTAAGAAAGGGAATAGAAAGACGCAGTCGTAGCCTATTTTAAGATACTATCCCAGCATTTGCCTAGAGGGACTGAAGAAAACAATCGATACTGCCATCAAAATAGCCGATCTGAGACGAGATTTGAACCAGGAACTTTGAGAACACGAAGGGATAATACTGCTTATTTGATCGTGATATTCGGTTCAGAAAAATAACCCCTCTTCCCAGTGGGTTGAAAAATGGGTGGATCTTGAAGCTGTTACGAAGATAAAAATGAAATAAAAGGGCATTGAGACAAAACTCGATGTATTTGGTACTAGAGAGTGATCAGCTTCGCGTTGTAGTCTCTGTAATTTTCTTAGTGGGTTGTTTTGGATGTGACAGCAATGAAAAACATCTTATTCTGCTGGAAATGAGCTCTAGCCTTCAATAATCGTAGTACGCCATAAGTTCATAGCCAGAGATACTTCACTCAAGTAAACATCATAACACAATTTCTAAAATATACTTTAATATTATCCGTCCAGCTACTGAAACTCCTGTCTCACAATTTATATGAAATGTCCCTACCAACATTCAATTTTCTTTTTTTTGATTTTATTTCAAGTTTTCATGGCGGTAAAACCATAAGATTACAATTTAAACCTATGTTCTTTGTTAATTCTTATTACAAGTCTGAGTATTTCCAGTCATATAATTTAACACTTTAAAACCGAAGCTCGTTTAAATATTTTTTTTTAAGAATTCAGTCCTTACCTCAAACAAAACACAAAAACATTTCACCATTAAAAATATTAACTGGTTAATGTTGTGAAGGAAATAATCACGATTAAACACTAACAAAGACTTAAAACATAAATTAAAATGCTCAGCTACTGATCGATAAAGCAGGTGGCAGCCGATATATTTCTCACTGGTTTTTAAAAGACTGATCACTTTAACGATATTATGTGAATACTGAAAACCGTTAAGCTTTTTGTGTAATTTTCCCAAGAGGCGAAGAAGGACAATGCTACAGTCACGGAGTTGGAAGTCTTTGGGTTTCTACTACGGTTCGCCACGCGTCAGCGACTAGATTAGGGAGATACAGAGAACGCTACCAGCACCATCTGCTGAGACTTTTCTGCAACACAACCGACTGCAGACTTCAGCCATGCTCATGTCCTGTACTTGGAATCTTGACTGTTTTAAGGGCTTAAAAGCGGTCGAATATTCGTCACAGAGCGAGTTTTGTCTTCAAACTTTATATCCGTTCGTTACACAGTAAACAGCCATGTAATAAGTAATTTAAAGGGAATCTGTAGCTTCTGATATTTGTTATACACTTTAAGATTTCTGTCTTCTAGGTTTTTACTCCGTTTGGTAGACATTTACCAACGTTTTACGACAGCTCCTTCATTATCATATAGTGATGATGGAGGCAGCAAACACATCCGAAACGTCGGCAGGGAAAAAGACTCTATACGAGGTGCGATCGGAAAGTTTCAAGACTGTGTCAATAGCGGGCGAACCGGATGTAGTACGAGCTTCTGCCGCTAGCGGGTGCGGCCTACATTCATAGTGAATCAGTGTGCCAGCCGGCATCATCGAATTAGCATTTGTTTCTTAGTTACGGGCGTTTTGGTAGTGCATTACACCGACCCTCCTGCGATTTCGGAATGGCG